CTAATGTCCATAGGCAGGCTTGGGACAATACGTCTTGTAAGAGATCTGTTCCTTGGCGACAGTGACGTACTGTGGTGCGAATTTCGTCTCGTAGTGGGTCTGGTACTGAAGTTGTGTCTGGGTGACGTAAGCCGGGTGTACTGGGTGGCGTAGACCCGTGTTATACCTCACCTGCGTCTGGAAATGGGTGGTAGTGGGTGCTGTGACGTACTTGGCACGTACTGCACGTCGGTAGCGTACCGGGTCTGGTACTGGGTGGTACTTTCGACAGGTGTTTGGTGACGTAGTTTATCTTGTTTGTAGAGGGTTTCCGGACGTATTTCGCGGACGTACTCCGTGTTTAGCGGGCTTTGGTACTGGGTCTTGTGCACGTGTTGTATACTGTGGTCCCACGAACGGACGAACCTCCTCCTGTATTACACACGTCTCGTACACGCGTAACCTTGGAATTGCGCCTGTCGAAAAGAGAGAATCGCAGACGGACCCAAGAGAGGAAGGAAAGTTCATTCCTGTAATACGGTGACGGCGATGGGAAGAAGCGGGAAGCCAAGGGGAGACGGAGAGAGAAAAAGGTGTAGCGAAGAAAGGAGAGGAGAGGTAATGGGTGCAGAGTCGAAGAAGGGGAAGGGAGGAGGAGAGAGAAAAGAGCCCGTTAGAGAAGAGGGATAGAGAAAAAAAAGGTAAGAAGAGATGAGATAGAGTAAAAAAGCTAAAAGAGTAACACAGCGGGGTAGGGAAAGCGGGAGAGGGGAGAGAGCAAGAGGGAAGAGAGAGAATATGAAAAAGGGAGAAAGGATCGAGAAGGCAAAGGAAAAGAGAGAAAGAGAAAAGGAAGCAGCGAGGGCACCATACAAGGAAGAGGGGCGAATAGGAGAATGAGGAAAGTGAACACAAACGGCCAAGGAAGCAAAGGAAAAAAAGATTAAAAGAAGAATATAGTACGAAGAGAGTCAAAGGAAGCAAGGAAGAGAAGGAAAGGATGAAGTAGGAGGCGGAGGAGAAGGAAGGATGGAAAAAAAAATATTTAATGAATTACTTGTTGTTGGGCTTGTGTGCATAAAGATAGCAATAAATGAAATAAAGAATAAATGTATGATTAAAAATCATTATAGATCGAGCAAACTTCAAAAAATATTTTCCCCCTCTCAAAATATGTAAGATTTTTTTTTTTTTTTTTTTTTTGCTTCCATTTTTGCTTACTTACCGATAGCCTCCGTTCTTGTAAGCATTGAGATATGAGTCTTATCGCTAATCACGGCTCGTGATAGCTCGCCTTGGTCAGCTTCTGGGTCAGCCTCGGGGTCAGCTTCTGGGTCAGCCCCACGGCGGTCAGCTCGGGTCAGCCACGGGGTCAGCGGCCGGTCAGCTACCGGTCAGCGGCAGCGGTCAGCTTTTGGGTCAGCCTCAGCGTTGACCCCGACGGCTAGGAAGGTCAGTACACCCGCCAGCCACCAGAAGCTTTTGAACTCGCGAAGACATCATCTGAGAATAAGGAAAAAAAAGAAAATATATGATAAAAAAATATGATAATTAGAGAGAATTAGCATAGAAGAGAAAATGAATGAAAGGAAAAAAGTGATTCAGATGCAAAAACAAGAATATGTGTGTGTTTTATGTGTGTGTGCTTGAGTGCTGTGTGTACGTGTGTGCGTGTGCGTTGTGCGTGTTGTGTTGTGTGTGGTGGTGCGTGTGTGCGTGTTTGTGTGTGTGCGTGTGTGTGCGTGAGCGTTTGGTGCTGTATATGTGTGTGTGTGTGCATATACGTATGTCTGTGTATATGTATATCCATAAGCACGTGCACATGAGAGTGAGGCCATACGTGCATGTCCCAGTCCGCAGAGAAGCGAATGCCAGAAGACTGTCACGGCCTGCACGCACGGAGGCGAGCGAGAGCGAGAGTCACCTGTCACGCTTGCTGGGGTGGGTGGGGTGCAGGGGTGGGGGTCGGTAGGATGGTATCTCTTATTCATTCATAATATACTGCATATAGAATACACACCACACACACACACACACACACACACACACACACCACACACACACGCACACACACACACACACACACACACACATATATATATATATATATATATATATAATATATATATATATATATATATATATGTGTGTGTGTGTGTGTGTGTGTGGTGTATGTGTGTGTGTGTGTGTGTGTGTGTGTGTGTGTGTGTGTGTGTGTGTGTGTGTGTGTTATACACATACATTATGTATACACACACACATACACACACAACACACGCCACACACAACGTATAATATATATATATATATATATACGCAATAATATACACATATATAACATTATATGATATATAATATATATATAATATATACTATATATATATAATATATATATAATATATATATAATATATATAATATATATATATATATATATGATATATATTATATACATATAATTATATTACATATTATCATATATATACTATATATATATATATTTTTTTTTTTTTAATACCTATACACACGAACACACAAAGGCCTATCGTCTCCCCAAATACGACACACCACATAAGGCAATTTTTCATAGGCCAATTACCTAAAAATCCAAAAAATGTCCCAAACCCAGTATTCGCCCGGACCGAGGGTTCCTTACCACAGGCAGGATGTTACACATTGAAGCAAACAAGAGGCAACGAGACTGACACTTTGGGACGAGAAGCAAAGGGTTATATAAGCTCTTCCGACGTCACGCAATTTCAAAGCCATGGCGAGGGGGAGGGGGAGAAAAGGGAAGAGAAAGAGAAGAGAGAGAGAGAGAGAGAGTAAAGAGAGGGAGAGAGGGAGAGGAGAGGAGGAGGTGGGGGACAAAATAGAAGAATCATGTAAGCCATTTTTTTTTTTTTTTTTTTTTTTTTTTCTTTGTGCTTCGGGATTGAGATCGGGGTGCTATGAGGGGGAGGGAGGGGGAGGGGTGGAAGAGGAGGGGAGTAAGGGGGTTATGAGGTGCAAAAGAGAGTGAGGGGTGATTTTCTCCCTCTTAACCCCTCCCCTCTCATCCCTCTCTCGGCCGTCTCCCTCACCCTCCTTCCACCTTTCCTCCTCCCTCCATTCCCTCCCTGATTTCCCTCCCCCCTTCCCTCCCCTTCCCCCCCTTCCCCCCTCTCCTCCTCCCCCTCGTTTCTAACAAGGTCGGAGCTGCGTTTTCCTTCATGATTATTCATGTGCTTTACGATATCGTTAAATCACGTTCGAGCGACGAAACGAGACGTTGCGCGCGATATGCAAGGAGCCGCCACCCCCCCCCCCATCCCCCCCTCCCCCCACCCATTCCTCCTCCCCTCCTCCTCCTTCTCCTCCTCTCCTTACTACTATTATACATGCTGCCACTGGTGTAACTGCTACTGCTGCTATTACTACTACTATTATATAAGTACTACTGCTGCTGCTGCTATTAACTACTATATTATAAGTACTACTGCTGCTGCTGCTGCTACTGCTGCTGCTACTACGGCTACTTCTTCTAGTATTACTAACACAATTACTACCACAACTACTACTAGTACTTCTCTTACTGCAGCTATTTGTACTACTACTACTAGTAAAACTAATTCTACTACCGCCACTACTACTACTGCTACCACTACTGCTATTGCTACGACTACTACGACTATTGACACTAATTCTACCACCGCTACCACCACTACTAGTAGTACTTCTGAAATAGCAGTACTACTACTTTAACTAATTTTCTTCCCCCACTCCCCTTCCTCCCTTCTCCCTCTCTTCATTCTTTCTCTTCCTCCTACCATGCTTCTCCTTTTTCACCTCTTCCTCCCTCTTTTGTTTTTTCTTCTCTGTTTTTGTATTCCTCTCTCCTTCTATTCCTCCTATTCGGCTTATTTTTATCCATGCTTTCCTTCTCATTCCTCTTCTTCTCTCTTCTCTCATTCATTTCCATCTCTTCCTCTTCCTCCTCTCAAATACCCGTCTTTCTCTTCCTCCTCGTCTTCTTCCTCCGTCTTCATCTCTCCCCTTTTCTTCTTCCTCTCTCCTTCCTCATATTCCTTCTTCTTCCTCTCCTAACTCCTGTTTCCCCTCTTTCTTTTGGCTTCTTTCTTGGTTCTGTCCTTTGTGCCGAAGAACATGTTCCTTCGAATCTCTCTCTCTCTCTTTCTCTCTCTCGCTCTCTCTCTTCTCTCCTCGCTCTCTCGCTCTCTCTCTCTCTCTTCTCTCTCTCCTCTCTCTCTCTCTCTCTCTCTCTCTCTCTCTCTCTCTCTCTCTCTCTCTCTCTCTCTCTCTCTCTCTCTCTCTCGTCTCTTCTCCTCTCTCTCTCTCTCTCTCGTTTGTCTATCTATCTATCTAACTATCTGTGTGTATGTGAGTGTGTGCGCACACACACACATAATGCAAAGAATGAATGAGAGAGAAAAAAATAATGTCTGTATATATGTCTATCCTCCTTTACAAAATCATCAAAATGCGTGTCTCCCACTTCTTCAAGACAATTAAATTCTCTTCTTTCTTGATCTCACAAAACAGTAAATATATTTTGGATAAATCTGCCATTTTGAAGGAAAGGAATGTCAATGGCGCGGGTTTTTGGCGGGTCATTACCTTAAGCGGCCGAGTCGGGACGGAGAATTCCTTGGCGTTCGGTAAAGAGATTGTGTTCTTGCTCACATAGCCAAAAATATGTATATATGTATATATGTGTGCATTGCATACATACACACATAC